TTCTAGATGTTAGCATAATTACTATTGAGTGTGATTTTTCCCCTGTCTTAGGTACATAAGCCATATTAGATTAATGGAGAGTAGTTGATTCAAATATGAACATGTTGTTGCTAATTTATACATAGATAGATATTTGTGTTTAGAACTTATTTCATTATCACACTTGATTCTGAAAACAGTTAATTTGTATTGTGGTCACATCTTGTGAGTTTGAACCATACAAATTGATCTTATTGATGTTGTTACTCTAAATTCATCTTGTTATCTTAGTGTTTACCTTTGATTTGAGGACAATAAAAAATTCTAGTTGGGGAGAGTTGTTAAGTGTCAACTTTTACATAAAATTCATATCAATTATTGACACTTTGAGACCTTTTATTTTACTTTTGATTAGGTTAAATATTTATTTTAAGTCATTTTGCGTCAGTTCAAAGAATTGTGAATGTTTAATTTGTTTGTTAGTGTTTCAGCAAATTTGTGCAGAAAATATGGCAAAAAGGGAGAATTTTAACTTGCTAAGCAAAAGAAACAAAAGTGTTGATTCTGCAAAGGATCGTCTGGCGACAGGATGTGTCGCCCGACGAAGATGGTGAAAAATAGAAGCTTCAATTATGTATTGCTTCGCTCCTGGGTCACCTGGCGAAAGGAGGATCGTCCGACGAAGCATTCTTGTTGTCGGGCGATGAAAGATACTCTTTTAGGGTTTTAACACGCCCAGCTGGTCACATGTGTCATCTTTCCAGAATCGCTGGACGATGCTTTATGATCACTCGATGATGGAGCACAGATAGGCTATACTTTTGGCTACTTTTTGCCACCTTTAATGGAAACTTTCCATAAACTTTTGTCTTGTGGAGGGAAAAAATCTGATTTTAGATATAGAAACCTTTTGTCCTATGGATCATAACATTACAACATAGAATATACTTTTTGTTCTTATCTCTTGAGAAGAAAAAAAAGAAGATCAATCTTGCATCTTGAATCAAGGAGACTTGAAGATTGATGTTCATCAACATCCATTGTTTATTCATTGAGCAAGCTATCATGACAATGAGTAGCTAAACACTTTTTATGTCAAGGTTAGAAGTAGTAAACCTAGACTTAATGTATTTCTTTTAATCATTTTGTATATGAACTTGGTTGAAGATTAATACATGTTGAATATCTTTGTATCATTGTTATTTTTATGGTTTGGTTCATTATTGAGAAGTAAGTTTCAAACTTGACCTAAGATATTCATCTACTAATAAATAAGCTCTAGACATAGATTTATGAGTTAGTATTCACTTGTATCAAGCTTTAAAGATTATCATGTTAATAGTTAGGTTGAGAGATCATTTAATGATTAACTTGATAACACTCACAATATTGCTTAGACATGAGAAATATTGAGAGGATACGTGAATATATTGATCATTGATTAGTTCATATGCAAGGTTAATCAAATAAATATGGAATATGTTGATGAAAACTAATCTTGACATCCTTTTTATCAACACAATCAATTTCAAACAACAATCTCTCTATTATCCAAATCTTTATCTTGTGCATGAAACTTAATCTTTGGTTACTAAAAGCAAACATTAACAATTTGTTTATGAGTCAAACACTTAAATACACTCAAACTATAGAATGACATTAATATCACACAAATCTCTGAGGAAAATAATAATATAAATACTTTTGTTGAAAATACTAGAAACACACCTCTCACTTCTTCTTTCCGAACTTCTCTTTTGACTCCAGTTGCTGGTTCTTCACATAAGATTCTCAATGAATCCTTGTTTATATTTTCATTCCAATCTCATTCCTTAAGCTCATCTATGACTACATCCCTACTGATCACAATCTTCTTGTTCACTGGGTCGAACAACTTTTAATCTCCTATTAAATGATATCCTACTAGGATCATCTGACTCGACTTTTCATCAATTTTTCTTCTCAACCGATCTGGCACATGTCTATGTGCTATATATCCAAACACTTTCAGATGGATCAAGCTAGGTTTAACACGAGACTAACATTCTTTTGACGTAACTCTTTTTAGCTTCTTTGTCAGACATCTGTTCAATATGAATATTGCAGTCGACACAACTTCACCCAAAAACTCTTTAGGTAAATGCTTGCCTTTCAACACATTTCTCACCATATTCATGATGATTCGATTCTTTCTTTATGCAGTTCCATTCTTCTGTGGAGTATAGGGTGGCACCACCTCATGCATAATCCCTTCTTTTTCACATAACATGTTGAAGTCTTTCGACACATATTCTCATCTACCATCAATTCTCAAAATCTTGAGCTTTCGACCACTTTGTCTTTCGACCATAGACTTAAACTTGGAAAATACCTCGATCAGTTTACTTTTCTTCTAGATTAGGTAAGTCCACAGTTTTCGATTGAATCATCTATGAATGTGACAAAGTATTTATTAGTTCCATTTGAATCCACATGGATTGGTCCACATACATCATAATATACGATTTTAAGAATAGCCTTCGACTTGATTCATGCATCCTTGTTGAAGCTATTCTTGTGTTGCTTCTCCTGCACACATTCATCACATACCTTGCTTAGAATTTCGATTTCTGGCAACCCTGAAATCATATTTCTTCTTTTCAAATATCTGATGTCCTTGAAGTTGAGATGGCCAAATCAGTAATGTTATATCCACTCATCCCTGCTAGCTGCAGTCGCAAGGCACTTGTGCTCCATCACATTTAGTTCAATCTTGAAGGTGCTATACTGAGACATGCGAGCCTTCAAGATTAACCTTCAATTTGCGTCGACGACTTTCATCATCTTGTCTTTGATCGACACTTTAATTATTTTCAACCAATTGCCCTGTACTAAGAAAATTTCTCTCCATGCCTGGTATGTACAACACATTCGAAATTAATAACCTCTTGCCATCTTTCATCATAATAAGAACATCTCCAATACCTTTAGCTCCTAGAGTATTGTCATTTGCAAATTTCACCATGTTCTTCATTGAGAGCTTTATGTTGACAAACCAATCTTCCCTTCCAGACATGTGTAATGAGCATCCTGAATCCAAGTACCATTGATCATTGAATTTTTCTTCATCTCTTGTAGTGACCATCAACGTCATCTCTTCTTCTTCTTCTTCTTCATACTTTGTAAACTTTGCATCACTTTCTTGATTCTTTTATTTTCCCAGATAATCACTAGAATAGTGACCATACTTTTGACAATTGAAACACTGAATGTGACTCTTGTCAGGTTTTCAACCACCACCTCTTCCTCTACCTCCAACACCACCTCTTTGGTTGCGTTGGTATGAGGGTCTTCTCTAATTCAACACAATTCCTTCCTGCTGGTCTCCTCTACTAGTAGAATTGTTGTAGCCTCCTCTACCTCTATTATCGAACCACTTTCCTTTGCATTTCTTTTCTCTTGCTGACTGCACCTGCAAAGCCACACCGCCTTTCAACTTGCCTGCAAATCTTTCAGCCATTCTTTGTTCATGAGATTTAAGCGTTCCTTAAAGCTCTTCTTTTGTCAATTTCGACAAATCTTTCGAATCTTCTATGGCTACCACCACATGGTCGAACTTCGGAGCCAATAACCTCAAGATCTTTGCCACAACTGATCTTGTTGTAAATACTTCTCCACACACCTTGATTTGATTCACTAGTTTTGTAACTCTGGTGAAGAAATCAATTATGCGTTCACTTTCTTCCATCTGAAGCAATTCATACGTTCTTTTATGAGTTTGTAACCTCACCTCTTTCACCTTTTATGTACATCCAAAAGATTTTTCTAGAATTTCTTAAGCTTCTTTCGCAGATTCTACGTCACTAACCTTTTCAAAATTGTCTGGACTCAGACACTGGTGAATTATAAAGAGAGCTTTATAATTCTTCTTCTTCTTCTTCAATTCTTTGCGTGTTGCCTCTTCTTCGTCCGTTGCTTCTTCTGCAAGCGGTTCTAATCCTTCTTTTAACAAGATCCCAAAGATCTTGACAACAAAACATAACTTTCATCTGCTTGCACCAATTCTCATAGTTATCAACTTTCAGAATTAGAAGATTTGCTGGAAAATGTTTGTTTGGATGATTCATTGTCATCGTGATTTTCTTCCCTTGAATCGCTCAACCAGAGCTCTTAATACTAGATGTTGAAAATCCATAAAAAATTATGATGAATTTATATCAATCTTGATGAACAAGATTGTTATCCATACAAAATAACAATGAAAAAATGAGGAAGAACGAAAATTAAGGTTTGACAAAATAAGAAGAAAGTGATGATTTCTGCAGAGTTTCTCTCTGTCCATAAACTGTGGAAAATCTTATTCACTTGCAATTGTAAATTCTGCGAATATAATGAGTTGTTACAAAATAGGGGTTACCCCATATATTTATAGTTTTAAGTTAGTTTTCTCCCTACTTCAAAGTCCAAAACACAAAAATCCAAAATACCTATTTTAGATTTAAGTCGAAATTATCTGAAAAACAACCTGCTTCGACACTTTAACAACTCAACTACAACTTCGATACACACACTAAACTTATTTCGACACACCTTATATCGAGCAATATGATACTTCGACACAAGAGAATTACATTCTCAACATGTCGGCACGCCAAACTTTAAAAAAAAAAAAATTGATTTACTACTACTACATTTACATTTACTACAATAATACAGACTTTTAAGTCACTGGATTAACAAAAAAAATATAAAAAGTAATCGAATTTTACTAAACAATAATGCACATCTGTAAAAGTTACTAAACAATATTTTACTTGTCAATTTTATGATTCCTAATTCATAAATTTTATAAGCACGTATAAGCCGAAGTTAATATGCTATGCAAGAAGAATAAATCAAAAGATTAATGTGACATTATTAAACACCTTAGAAAAGGAAACATGTACTCTGCCTTTTATTTCCTTTATTGTAGTTCTATGCTTACTCACATTGAGTTCAAAATGAAATAGTAGAAGAAGAAGGGAGCAGTGGTGTGTTGGAGAATGGTAGAGAAAGATGAAGACGCAGACCCATGGTTAGGCGCAGACAAATTCCACCACATCCTCATGTGTTTCTCCATCACTCTCCTCTTCTACTTTCTCGCTTCCCTAACCTCACACCCTCTCCTCCGCCGCCACGCCATTTCCATCGCATCCCTCGTTTCTCTCCTCGCCGGCGCCGCCAAAGAAGCCGCCGATCACCTCCGCTTTTTCCGCTCTTCCGGCGCCTCCTTCAAAGACGCCATCGCCGATGTCATCGGTGTCTTCATTGCTTCATTAGCTCTTTCTCTCTTCCGATCCAAAACCTCTCCCTCTCGCCCTCTTCCCCAAGGGATTTCCCTTCTTTGATTCCATTTCCATTTCCACAATTCAATTCAGGTAACTATATACATTTCTATTATTCTCTCTACTTTCGTTTTCTTCTAATTTTAGCTTCATTTCGTTACTATTAGTAATCATTGAAATAGGTTTTCCTAGGTTTAATTACTTTTCTCTATTAGATATTTGCAAGAGGTTTTTGATTCTGCATTCAAGTCTTATCTATATATATATATATATATATATATATATATATATATATATATATATATATATATATATATATATATATATATATATATATATATATATATATTGAATCCGTATAGCGTCACTTCAATTTGTAATGCATCAATTCGCATAACATTTAGGTCGGTACACGGTACAAGTGTTGCGACACTATTTGTGGTTCGTTGCGGTATGAATTAATCACAATTTGTTCCTAATCATAAAAACAAACAGTATCGATATTGACACCTTTTGATACGATGATTGCTTGTGAGACTGCAGTGATTTTGTTTTGCTTGGATTTAATTTAATAGATAGATATAGATACATTATACGAATATCAAACACCTTCACGCATTTATATTTTGTGTATATAATTTGTGCACATAACAAATGATTCTTGTTTTCGCGTGTTCACTTTTCACACAAGTTCTATATTATATATATCAAAACAACATCATCGTGCAGTCTGTCTTGAGTTGTTTTATGATGATGGATGAGCATGGAGACTGACGAAATTGATCATCGTCTTGTGAAGCTGGGATGGTTTGAAGAAGCATTAGATTTTGTCTTATCGTCTTCTTCGGGTAGCTTGACTGCAGTATAAGTACCTGCCCCACCTAACGCCCCGAGTATGGGAGCTAATAGATAGACCCATATGGCTTTGTAGTTGTTTGCAGCAATAGCTGGACCTAGAGTTCTTACCGGGTTCATTGACGCTCCTGTTATTGGCCTGTAGTGTCGTGCAACACATCATGTATAGGTTAATGGAAAGTGGAGATAGGGGGAAGAAGGGGAGAGTATATTGAGAATTTGGGCGAGAAGTGAGAGTTTGAACTTATACATACCCTGCTATGAGTATATTAAGCATCACAGTTGCTCCAACTGCAATTCCGGCTAGTTCTCCTACCTGCGAGCGTAACCATAATCATCAATCAGTGACTCTGTTAATCAAATCCTCGTCACATGTAGGGCATTTATCATCCAAATATATATATATATATATATATATATATATATATATATATATATATATATATATATATATATATATATATATATATATATATATATATATATATATATATATATATATATATATATATATATATATATATATATATATATATATATATATATATATATATATATATATATATATATATATATATATATATATATATATATATATATATATATATATATATATATATATATATATATATATATATATATATATATATATATATTCAAATTTTAACTTAGATGATAGTATTCCCTACGTGTAAATCATGATAGTATAGGGGATTCACCATCCTTCTCCTTTATTTTTCTTTTCAAACTTGAATGAATTTGTTTATTTATTAGCTAAAAGTTACTATTAGGAATAAATACTCACGGCTCTTGTGTCAGTGGCCACTGCGGTGACAACAAACATGAGGTTAAAGCTGATAATGAACTCTAAAGCAAAAGCTTGGCCGTATCCTCCGGAAGGAACGGTGACTCCACCACTCATGAAAGGGTGAAAAACCCCTTTGAGAGTAAATGCGGCACATATTGATGCCAAAACTTGTGCTCCAATATACAAAGGCACCTGCGAATATAATTTATACTTCTATACGTATGTACATGCATCCTCATAAATATGTACTAGTATGACTTTAATTAATTCTCGTTTTTTTCAACCACATTAGTTAGTAAATTAGACCAAAGGATTAGGGAAAAGCTTTAGTTACATGCTTCCACGGGAAGTGCTTTAATGCAGCAAAGGAAATAGTGACTGCAGGGTTGAGATGAGCACCAGAGATGTGGCCAGTGGAGAGGATGATGATCATAACGGCAAGACCAGTAGAGGTAGCACATCCAATCAGAGTCTCTGACCCGTTTGTCTTTTGGTTCACAATAGCAGTGGCTGTCCCAGCAAACATCAGAATCAATGTCCCTATAAACTCAGCTCCTATCTGCAATCCAACATGTTTTAGATTAATCATTTACTACTACTAAGCACTAACGAAAATTGTCTGCATTGGTTACACACACATACACATATATAAATATATAGAGGTTTTATTATATTACATGTACTGAATTTACTAACTGAAATCTACATGATTATACATATAAACTAAGTTACGTTTACCTTTTTTGCAAGAGGGACAGGAGGGGGTGCCATTAATGAGCAAGTGACTGTGGGTAAAGCTCCGTCTTCTAAGGTCCATTCTTGGACACCAAAGCATTGACAATTCAAGAGGGACTTCTTTTTCTTATTACTACCATGCCCATTTCTCTCGGACTTAAAACCACCAAAAAGTGGTACACCGGGAGTGCCTGGTGTTGCTGGTGCTGATGGAATTTCCTCATTATTAATATGCTCCATTTCTCCAGTCAAAATTTAAGTCAGAAATTAGAGTATGAAGTGGGCTCAAGATTATTGTTGCTATTGGTCTGTCTTGTATATATAGCAGTAGCAAGCAAGAGTGTAGAGTTGACTTACTATATAAGCATGATTAGCCTCACTATAATATGGAAATGAAAGGAAGCAAGTTAGTGGTTGTAACTGAGATATGAGAAAAAGGTAGCAGCATGTGGAAGTGGACGGTGGGGCACTACTGAGGGGACTCTTACTTGACTCTTGAACATACCAAAAAGGCTTGGTTCACGGTGTACCCTACAATATGCAACAATTATAGCATATGGTTTTCGGGTTATCTTCTATTTCCTTGGCCACTACTTTTGTGCTTTCCATTTCTGTCACTTTGTAACCAGCCCATTCCTTCACAATTGAAGTGCAAAGGTATGCAATCAATCTTGATTTTAAAATTGCCTCCATGTATCATTAGAGTGTATTGAACAATAAAAACATCATATAGTTATTAATTGCTGTTTACAAGGTTTTATTAATTGTTTTGTTGTGCTTGTGCCACTGCTCAAAAATTAGGATAATGATTAATGAACAATTAAGTTTTTAAGTCTGAACTTTATTTGATTGAGTAAAGATTCAAATATCAAATAAAATCATATAGGGGTAAGAAGATAAGACTCTATAAGTGTCCCCAAGTATGCATGCCAGTAAAGGTGGCATAAATTCTTCTCAATGATTTGAACATTTGTGGTTCTCTTCCTCCTTCATGTCATTTTTCACTTTCACAATGAGTTATTATCTAATGATGCCTCTAATTTTACTGTACTGTGTCATCATTAGAGTTGAAATACCATTTTGGATTTAACCATCAAATTGATGGTTGAGACACTCTCCCAAGTCTCAACAGTTCAATTGGCAAACACTAGAAACAACACAACATAAAAAAATAATTAAGAAGAAACACTGGATGACTATTAATTACTTATTTCATTTAACAAGGTCTTCTAAAAACAACTGAGTGGTAATAAATATATATGGAATAAATAGTGCACATAATTTGTTGTGATTGAAGAAAATCCCTTAACATTCATGTGCTTAGGTTTTTTCTTACACATCACTCACTAGAATGTGAAAAACATTCTATGTACAAGCTTGCTTTATTAAAAGCATGTGTGAATGAATAGAAGAGAATCTCTAAAAAAAATAAATGAAGAGGGCTTCAAACTTCAAAGAGAATGCATGCATTAGGTTGAAATGTAGGACTCTATCGAATAATGAGACTATGGGTCAAATAAGTTGGCATTTTGTATCATTTTGTCCTCCACTTAGTCCACTCTACATCAATTGGTCGACTTCAAATATATCATTCTTCTATCCCAAGTAATATACTAGGGTGTGTAATGTTCACCCTTCCTTTTCTTTCATCTGTCATGGCTTCGATAGTGTACTCCCTTTAATTTTATTAATTATGTTTTGGATCTAATAAAAGTATATTAGGTTAAAAGAACTGCTTATAGTAGAAGATTGTTTAGACACTGCTTATATTTGGTTAAAAAACATGTTCATTATTATAAAAACAAATCCTTTGAAAAGAGACTTTCATTTAGAATTTTTTCCGAACATGCCACATCCCTGGAAAAAAATTCTCAAAATGCCACAGACTGAAAAAATTTTCCCAAAATGCCACACCCAGGGGGTTCACGCCATTTGAAATGGCGCAAATGTGGGCAGCAAAGGCTCACGCCAAATCAAATGGCGTGAAAGGCCTTTTTAATTTTTTTTCTTCGTTTTCTTACATTTTTATTATTTATATTAATAATTTTAATTATTTAATTTTTTTATTAATTATAAATAATTTAATAAACTATTTAGTTATAAAATTAATTAATAAAAAATTAATTTAAAAACTTAAAATAATTATTTAATAATTACAATGTAATAATAAAAAAAATTTATTAAATAATAAAATATCACAATTACAATCAAAATGCTAAATAAAAAAATACAGTTAAAAGTAGTTATAAATACCAATATATAGATAGAATTAGTTGGAAGGGCCTGCATTGTTGAGGCGATGCGGACATTTCTTTCGCATATGTGGTTGTTGATAGATACCGCATCGTCTTTTTATTTTCTCAACAGTGTCCATTTCAGTTCTAATGCGAGTACTGTTTGGGCGACTTTTTTTGTTTCGTCGCATCCTTTTTCATCATGCAAAAGAGTATCGCCCAAATATGGAGGCCAACTATCTTATTGGGGAACACCGAGGAAACTTTGTATGTAAATTTTGAAGACGTTTATAACTCTATACAAGTCAGGAATAAACGTAGTATAGTCGTGGTTAATGTGAGAACACGTTGCGATAACATGTGAGCAAGGCAGATGAAAAGTTTGAAATCTCCCACAGTCACAAGTTCGTGTTTGGAGGTTGACGTTGAAATGGGTAAGTGGCCGACAATTTCTATTATTAACCGTCTCTTGAACCACGAAATAGTGACTTTTACGGTCAAAAGCCAAGACATTATAACTGTGGGATTTTTCTATTTCTTCTACAATTTCTTTCATGCAGTTATCTGTGAACTCCTTTCCTGATGCCAATTTTTTTGTCCAATCCTTTCCTCGCTTACCCCATAATGTTCCCATCCTGTAGTATGTTGATCTTACATGTAATAGGTAGGTTTTGGGTTTCCTTCAATACTGAGTTCAAAGATTCAGCAAAGTTGGTTGTCATGTGACCCCAACGTGCTCCTCCGTCGTAAGCTCGCGATCATTTTTCTATTGGAAGGTTCTCTATCCAATTAAAAGCCTCTGTGTTTGTTTGGCGGATCTCCTCCCGATAATATGTGTATGTAGAGTAGTTAATTGAGTACCCTGCGTAAAAGCATTAAAAACATTAATATAAAAGAACTACATATTGAAATGACGTGTTAAAAATTAGAGAGTAATTACCCATGTTAACAACTGTCTTGCGAAGGTTTTTGTCCTTGATGGCTCGCATGAAGTTTTGTGCGATGTGCCTAATGCAATACACATGCACCGAGGGTGGTTTCTACCAACCATTATCCGGGTTATTGTAGGCACTCTTAATGGACTCATGTCGATCCGATATCAAACATAAGTCTGATTGGGGTGTGACGTGGAGTCTCAAATTTTTCAGAAAGAAACTCCAAGCCCCCGGTCTCACCTTCGACCAATGCATATGCGATTGGGAAAATGTTACCATTCCCATCTTGTGCAACAGCCAGGAGCAATGTTTCCCTATATTTTCCATACAGCCATGTATCATCTACCTGCACTATAGGTTTACAATGTGCGAAATCCCCTTGCACCACCAATTTGTGTTCTTCATTTGAATATACAGGAAGTGTTTCAAGATCTATGACGGTACCTGGGAGAAATTGTTGCATGACTAACAACCACTACGGAAGGTTGTTGTAAGAGGCCTCCCAATTGCCATAAATATCTTCGATTGCTTTGTTCTTTGCAATCCATGCTTTTTTGTAAGACACGGTGTAGCCATAAGTCGTACGAATATGAATATGAGCAATAATATGTCTAACCTTGATTGCCGCGTCACTGTCAACAAGAGGTTTGATGTTATGGGCGATCATCTTTGAGGTAAGCTTTTGGTGATATTGAGATATAGTAGTCGACATGCAAGTGTGTGGCCCTCCAATTCTGCTAATAACCCATTTACCACACCCCTCCCTTAACGAAGCCTTACACGGTAAGTTGCATCCCTCCTTTTTACATTTAATTAAATATCGTGTCGGATCAGACTTACAAACCTTAAAAGTATGAGAATTTTTTATGTGATACTCAGATATTGCATGGAGACAAGTTTCTTTATTTTCAAACGTCATACCAACCTGTAAGTCATCACGTGACTCACGTTCGTGGTTCAAAGACTGAAATTGGTTCCACACATTCAAATGAAACATTTCTTAATTGATATGGTGGGTTGTATAGATCAAGTATAGGAGCCGGTGATATGGTGGGTTGTATAAATCAAGTATAGGAGCCGGTTCTGCCTCCAGTTTGTCATCGTCACCTGACTCGTCACTGGACCCACTAAACAAATTAATTTGTCTGGCATCGTCAGAGTCAGTATCATCACCCATTTCCTCTTCCGGAAATATTGGCTCGTTATGTTGTGCTTGGACAGACTCTTCTTGTTGGGAGACTTGACTTTGTTGATATGCATGAGTTTGTGATGATTGTGTTGGAAATACTTCATGCATTTGTTGAAAACAAATATACAACTCCATTGTTTGTTGACTGCAAAACCTTGAGTGACATTGAAGCATTGAACGGACATCTTCATCGCCTTCGATTTTTGCAGTGTTGTATGTGACATTGTGATCAACTGGATTAACTATTGGAAATCGATAAAAAAAATAGAAGTTACATGTTGTTGTAAAGTTTCTTCTATTTTTTTTTCGTCAAGTGGGCTAAATCAATTTTTCGATGAATATTTAAAATATGTGTATCCGTATTTTGAAATACCACTCCAATATTTTTGTTGGTAAAAATATTACCATTGAAATGTAACAGACAAGAAATGTGATTTTGTGGCATTGTGTTTGATGTAATATTCAATTGTTTGAATAAGAGACAACTATGTTTGAATAAGAGACAACATGTTGCATTGTATTTCATGCATGTATTAATAAACAAACTTCAATTTGTTGGATTTATTGTGTTGTCGCCAAGTCAAATGGCGTGAAGCCTTGGTCTGTGTACACTCACACCAACTCAAATGGCGTGAACCCTTGTAGTCGCCATGTCAAATGGCATGAAGACCATACTTGCGCCAAATCAAATGGCGTGAATACCCTAATTGCGCCAACTCAATTGGCGTGAACCCTTGTTATGCGTTAATTCAAATGGCGTGAAACCTTGCAGTCTGGCGTGAATGCATACATGCCATGCATATAAATGCAACATTAAACGATTCTGTTTTCAGATTAAAATGACTCTGATACTTTGCTCAGTATACATTATTCTGTATAATTCACAAATTGTTATGTTTGATTATAGAAATGCATTTTCTAATCCTTTGGTTGTACGGCTTATGGAAAGACCTAAATTCATTCACTTAAAAAATCAATTACGTCAAGTCACAAATATTAATAGGAGCATTACAGAGATATCTTTCAACCGGGCTACAATCAACGAAAATGGAGTCTTGATGCAGCATATTATAAAGTTAGTTACAAATACAAATGTATTTAACATGTTTGAGGATTTTTCGAATTGGTGTTAATAAAACACCATTTGAGTTGTATGTCAGATTCAGTAGATCGGCCGATGAAGTTTTATCATTGTGTACAAAACCGTGTAATTTACAATATTCTCAATAAGTATACAAATTTATATTTATTCAACTTTCATTAAATAACTCTACTACCTACCAACTCTAATTAAATTACTCTACTGCCTACCAACCACAATTAATTAAATTATTCACCTACCAACTCTCATTTTTCCTATAAATACTCAATCACTCTCACCTCATTTTTCCACAAACACACTACATTCTATTCACTACACACTCTCTACTCTCTTTTGTTAAGTCTTCAATCAGTTCTTCATTTTCACGTACACAACATAGGCGAACCGTAGAAAATATCAATGTTGTAAGTATTTATGATTTATTCAATATTATTCATATTATTTATTTTTGAGTTTACAATATTAGTTTTATTCATAATTTGCATAGAAATGTTGAATATTTTTCTATATTACTTATTTCTATTACAGATCGATGATACTTATATTTCAAAATGGAGAATTCGTGCTCACAAACCTCTAAAGCCACATGCAGTCATAATCCCTTACCTTCACCAATCTGGTTTCTATCATGTATGTACAATAGGGTTCACACACATCGATTCAAGGTTAATTATAGCCTTACTGAAACGGTGGAGACCCGAAACTCATACATTTCATCTTCCAAACGGTGAATGCACAATTACATTGGAAGATGTGAGTATGTTATTGGGGCTTCCTGTAGATGATAAAGCGGTAAATGATCCATTCAAGCTAGGTGGTGGTGCATGGAGTTCTATTTTAAGAGATGAACCACCGCAAAGTGATAAGGGAATGACTGCGAGGTTGACATGGCTTAAAGACATGTACCAACCTGAACCACCAATCGAGGAGTCACTTGAGCAGTATAAAATTAAACATGCTCGTATTTATATCTTACTCCTTATCGGACAAGTTTTGTTTCCTAACAAAAGCGGTAATACAATACACTCAAAATGGACACAATTTGTTGTGGATTTAGAAGATTGTGGAAAATTGAGTTGGGGTTCCGCCGTTTTAGCCAATCTATATAGGGAAATATGCAAGTCTGTAGACATAAAAGTAACAGAGATGTCAGGATGCGTTGTACTTCTTCAAGCTTATGCCTATAATATCTCTGGTGGCTCTGCTTCAAGTTCCATATTCTTACGCAAGAAGGTAATATTTTAATTTTAATTTAAAATTATAATTAAATTTGTTAGGATACTTTAAAATAAAATTTAATTTTAAATTCTTTTTAGGTGGTGCATCAAGAAACTTGACTACCAAAACAACTCGCGCCACCATCTACAAGGATACCGATTCAAAATTGATCACATGCTTCAAGATCAGATTTTTTTCCACTTTAATACTTCTTATAAATTTTTGAATTTTATTTTGGTTAAACTAAAAAGTTTATTTTTGAATTTTATTTTGGTTAAACTAAAAAAATTTATCTATAACTTTTCAGTTTATTTGGAGGCCGTATCTTGGATTAGCGCCCCAAAGTCACAAGTACAGTTTGATATGGAGTTCGTATATAATATATTTTCATATTGTAGAAATGCATCAAGCAGGGTCAAACTACAATTTGACCATTTACAATGATACCTGAAGAACCTCGATGTCTGACTGAACACCATAAGATGACAACAATAAAAGCGCGCCAAAAAGCATATACCACATTATACTCTGATGAACAAAACTGTTGGTTGCATCGAGAATTGTTTACGTTGGATGGAGATCAATTACAAACAGAGGAGAAACCGTCAAATGAGTACATGCAATGGTTTCACTCGCTTCCACATAGATATGCATAGTACGAATGCCCCTACTCAGGCAACTCAGGCAAATGGCTCTCAACAACCTCACCACTCACAACATTCTCAACCTCCTCATCCCAATCCTTCCAACAACAAACTCCTCACTTTTCCCAACATCAAACACCCATCCCCATTATCCTGAACAACAAACTTATAACCCTCATTTTTCTCAACTACAAACTCTTGCCCCTTATTTTTACCAAAATCAAATCCAATACCCTTATTTTCCAACCATTACATCAGATGCAACACAGCAAAATCCTCCAACAACAGAGACCGAACAACAATATGGTTTTAGTCATCGTGCTCCGCGACCGCTTATTGTTTTACCGGTATTCGTTTCGGACCAGATCATCAGCATTAAATAGTGTAATTGTGAAATTTTAACTGTATTTTTTTATTTAGCATTTTAATTGTAATTGTGATATTTTATTATTTAATAAAAAAAAATATTATTACATTGTAATTGTTAAATAATTATTTTAAGTTTATAAATTAATTTTTTATTAATTAATTTTATAACTAAATAGTTTATTAAATTATTTGTAATTAATAAAAAAATTAAATAATTAAAATTATTAATATAAATAATAAAAATGTAAGAAAACAGAAAGAAAAAAATTAAAAAGGCTTTTCACGCCATTTGATTTGGCGTGAGTCCTTGCTGTCCACATTTGCGCCATTTCAAATGGCGTGAACCCCTCCTGAGTGTGGCATTTTGGAAAAAAAATTTTAGACTGTAACATTTTGAGACTTTTTTTCCAAGGATGTGGCATATTGAGAAAAAATTGTTTCATTTAACCTGTCTATACTCTATAGTGCTATAATAAAGTTAACCTTGATAGAAAATCCTTCGGATTTCATTATATCTGTCAAAATGACCCATCACGAGCACTTATTATTATCCTTGTTTTGCTCTTGAAGGAAACCTCAATGTCACTGCCTCTAATTATGAGTTTTACATTGTGTGAATGTGTGTAGACCACTTTTTATTCACTTGGACAAGAGAGGAAAAAGTGATGGTTCTGATTGCTCCACGTTTTGCATTGTAGAGTAGGACAAATATAAATTATTCGGCCTATTAGAAGTAATAATGCATATAAGGGTAGGGTGTGTTTGGTTGTAATTAGAAAACGAGAAGAGAGATAGAGATGAAAATAGAGTAGATTTGATGTCCTATTTGATAGAAGAGAAAAATGAAATAAATTAAAAAAAAAGTGGTGATTATTTTGAAAAGTACTAAAATATTCTTCAATTGAAAAAATCTCTCATCAAAGTTAATTTATTTTTTATTTTAATTCACTTAATTAATTTATGAAATTGCACAAGTATGTTTTTAATTACTTTAATATTTATTAATTTAAATTTATTCAAGACTATTCTTTAATTTTGATTTTAATGTATATTAATTGAATTTAAAATTAGTTCACACAATAACCAAAAACTAATATCATGTCAAGTATCCCATTCAACTATTCCGCTTCGGCACCAGCTCCAGAAGCAAAATAATTTTAAAAAAAGTAGCCCGTATGATTTTTTTAGGTATATTTAGTTCATAACTCTTTTAATTTAATATAATATTTCACTTCAGTCTTTTATTTAAAACCGTTACATTAGTCATTTAACTTTACTTCAGTTATATTATTAGTCATCTCCATCAATTTTTGATAAAAAAACCGTTAAATTATGATGATATAAATGTACCATAAGATTTAAAGTTTAAATATGATTAATTATTTATATTATAAATATAATTTTTACGTAAGTTGGTGTCATAAATATGATTACAATAAAATTACATTTAGACCTTAAACTTTGTTGTACATTTAGAATTTAATATTTTTTTTTGTGAGAAATTAACCGAAGAAATCAAATAATCAAATAAGATAACAAAATTGAAATTAAAAGACTAACTTATAATATTTTTTAATTAAAAGACTAAAACTTAATACTAAATTAAGTTAAGAGATTAAAACATGTATTAAATCCATTTTTTATCATCTATAGCTCCTTGTTGTCCATTGTATAGTCAATATCCACCATTTTTAAAGGCTTCTTTCCGTTGAAAAGTTTGAGATGACAAAAGTGATAAGAAACATGAAGACAAGGGCATGGTGGGAATAAATGCATATTTTAATCCGTTAATTTAATTTAATGATTCACTTCAGTCTCTTAATTTAAAAAATTTACATGTTAATTTCTTAAAAACACTCTCGTTACATGTTAGTCACTTGAAAACATTTACGTTAGTCTAATTGATCATTTTCGTTAAATTTTATAAAAAAATATTAGTTAATGCATACATAACTATCTATTAATTATTTAGAATTTATTATTGTAATTGATTGTTGTTGAAATCCGTTTGTTAAAAAAAAGTAGTAACCTTAATTTGGTTTAAAGTTGAGACATGCTATAGTGTTTCCAGCCTTTTATAAGAACTTTCTACATTTTCTTGTTCATGAATTTGAGAAAAACATTTTTTTCGATTTTCTAATAATCATAGTTGGTGTCATTCAAGATAGTTGGTCTATTGATAGATCCTTCATCTTTAGTGTTGTTCATTAGAACAAATTTTTTTTTGGGAACTCACCCAAACAAAATAGGGTGTCTACACTGATGCCAATTGAAATTCTATTATAATGGGACAAATATTGAATCAGATGTGTAAGACAAAGTGTTCAACATCTTAACTAGAATTTGATAGATAATAGAAAACAAGATGATTAATCATACATCAATAAATAACCAAGAGAATCGATAATCTAATTCGGTGCAACCTCACCTACGTTTGGGGGTTTTCAACCTAAGAAAGGAAATCCACTTCTCAATAGCATTAGTACAATTAGTTTTAGATGAACAATCCTAGTTTAATGTCTCTTCCTAATACTACATGTGTCTTTCTATTTTGAATTTCCCCTAAATATGAAAGCTTTCTCTCACTTTCTCTCGATCACTAACTTAATGATCAACACACTACTACGGAAAACTCATCTAACAACAGTTCGGAAACACATATAATCACGCGGATCCATGCGTTGTTGTGTAGAGTGTGGTTGTATACGCGACACTTACAATCACAGTTCAATGACCATTGTTATAAAATATCTATCACAACAATTTACTCAACCAACCATTGTAATAATTATAGTGGCACAGGTTCGATACCCAACTACAATCAAAATTAAAAGCGCATAAAAATAGTCTTTCACCATGGTTAAACGTTCCAACCATTGTGGTATATATAAAAGTTTATTATAAAAAATAGGATTGCTTGTTTTTCTCAACCCCCATTACCATATGTAACCATTCAAATAGATTTTTGAGACAATAATTAAAAATATATATTATTATTGAAAAGCAACTTAAAATATCCAATATTTTTCGAATTGCAAGCATCTTGGAAATCATGATTTCCTCTTTTAACTTATAGGATTTGATTCAATCCCAAAATTTTCAAAGTAATATTGATAAATGGATGTTAGTATGAGTTTTTCACATGAACTTTTATTTCCACTTCTTTTCTAATTTATTTTTCAAATATCAAGTTTTGTGTGAAAGATCCTGACTGACACCCATTTATCAACATTGTTTTGAAGAATTTGTGACATTGAATGAAATTCTATATGCTAAAGAGGGAATTATGATTTATAAGATGTATGCAATTCAAAAAAATATTGGATCGTCTAAGTTGATTTTCAAGAGTAACTTAATTTTTTAAATTATTATCTTAAAAATCTTTTTAAATGAGTGTAAGTTTAATGAAGGCTTAATGAAACAAGTAATCTCATATGATATAACAAACTCTCTAACAACATTTATCAACAAAAACATCAAATTAACTTACATGGATAGTGAAACAAATAATATACATACTATATAATAAACTATACTTTATCTTGACATGTCAACAGTTATAAGAATTTCAAGAACAAAATATTGTTAAGTCACAAGAAAACTTTTTTCTTATGAGTTAACAATGAGGAATAAATACAAGGTGTATGAAGTTTCCACAATGACATCATACTTCTTGTATTTTTCTCCATTGCTACACAAACTATATGTACCTTATCAACTCATACTATACGCTTTCTACCACCATCGTCATCACCATATGAGCTTCAGCTAGTTTGTGAAGCCATGAGAAAGAAATATAAGATGGATGAAGTTTACACAATAGTTTCATACTTCTTATATTTCTTCTCCATAGGTTCTCAAACTAGATGAAGTTTATTGTTGTTGTTATTTCTTGAGTCCTACAAATACCATGAATATTATCAACATGTGAAACCGCAAACTTATTTCTCAACAGAGTATGAAATAAACGAGAACAATCAACAAAAATAACATGCAACAAATGAGATAGTGGCTAACAAGAAGAAGGAAGAAGAAGAATACCTTAACGTATAAAGCACAAGATTCACGGGTAATGGCGAAGAAGAAAAAAAATGGGTGTTAGGGTTTCACTATGAAGAAGTGCGCCTTAACGTTAATGGAATACAATATGTTATGGCGCCGAGGTTCGAACCCATGAAAGTTTTATTATATCACCACAGTTGGTTCTTCAACCGCTGTTATATACAAATAATTTTTAATCTAAAAACAAAATAAATATGATCACACTTTAGTTTAGAGATGTCACAACGGTTGAGGGAAGAACCGTGGTGACATGGCATTGTTGTTTACGCGTTTTGTAGTAGTGACATGGTAATTAGAATATTGAATATCGAATTACAACTCAACTAACAAATCAAACTCCATGCCTTAAGATGTAAACGCAAGCACGAGAGTGGTGCATGTAACGCCCGTTAATTAAATTAATTATTTTCGAATTATTCGTTGAAGTTGTGAGGTGTTGTGAATTGTTGGCATAAGTTGGTATATTATTACTAGTTAATTAATTATTTGATTAATAATAGTAATAATATTAGAATTGGTAGAATAATAGAATAGTTATGTTGGGCCTATTTTAATGGTTGGAAGTAGATATATAAGGGGTGTGTTGTTAAGCCCATTAAGAATAATAATATTGTGAGGTTCTATTTAAATAAAGAATATGGTTAATTGAGGAGTTGTTGGAAAATTGGTCGTGAGAAGTGCAGAGAAAAGGAATAAAGAGAAGAGCAAAGCAAGGTTCCAGTCGGAGAATTATCGAGCAACCTTCAATTCAAAGTAAGGGTGAGATTCTGACCTTATAGTGGGGCATATGATGAATATTGTATAAGGGCTTGGTCGTAGGTATAACTGTTGTGCGTTGATTTTCTGAGCCTGTTCTTGAAAGTTTCTCGTTTTTATGTTGTGGTCGTTTAGGATTTCTATGCATGACTATTTTGTACAATTGATGAATCTGTTAGTAGGAGATATAGTTGCC